TACGTTATTGTTACAGTATTTTCCTTTTACAGCAAAAAAGGATGGGGGGGGGGTGTACTTAGGCTATTATTTGTGTTAAGGCCCTTTCACACCGGATGCGTAACGGAAAAGCGAAACGAAAAAGCGAATAGTTCGCGTGAGAATATTTCGCGTCAAAACCATTCACATCAGCCGCGACGCGAATTTGCGACGTTCAGAACTTCAACATTCCAAAACATTCGCGCCGATGAAAGCAGACCTGATTTTCATCAGAAAACATAGGCTACTCTATACTTATTATTATAGCCTATAGGTGAATAAATATAGATTTTATATTAGATGTCTTTTTGAAGTGATGTTAACATGATGCTTTAATAGGCTTAATAAAAAAAAAAAATCCCAATCTCTAAATAGCACATTTTCAAATAAGCACATAAGTCCATTAGGAAAGATAAAGATGAATGCGTTCTTACCGGATTCGATCAGTGCATTTTGAATTTATATTGTTTGTCTGATGATCTGGCAGCTTCGATTGGACCTTCTTTTTAATTATGTGCATGTCAGTAACTCGCAGTAACTACTGGCAGGTGGAGCTCACTTTCACCAGTTCACTTTAGGTCCACAGTTGCCTGGTTCCTTGCCCACGCAGCATTCATCAGAGCAAACACTCTCTCCACGAAGAGTTTGTTTGTTTGTGATGGCTCCATTAACGTCTGTGCTGTGCATTTTCTATGTTTTCTTATTACATTTTTTTAAATTGTAGAATTGTTATTTAAAGGACGATTAAATAAAAGGATGCAGACAAAAAAATGCGGTACAGTGCTATGACTTGCGGGACGTGGCACATAGCTTCTTCATCACTATCATTATCATCCAGTGAAGACAAGCTTTTTATTTTATTTAAAAGCAGAAAAGAAGGTTTGGGGCACCCACTACCGGAGCTAGAAACATATGGCAGAAGGTGAGCTGTCCCATTCATCAGGGGCTACGTTTACATGCAATCAAATAAACACTTTTAGTAAACGTATTGAAGGCTCAAATGGACTGAAAAGCCTTGTAAACACCCGGTTGGGCTCGATACGAACGAACGAGCACAACGTCCCACCAGTCCTTGTTTCAGATATTCATTCACAGTCACAGACTCGACACACAAGCAATCAGAAGGTCCGTCCGTCATTGCTGCGGTCACGTCACCTTTGTTTCCCTGTATATGATTGGCTGAAGCCTTTTCTTTCGCCTCAAAAATCGACATCGAAGCGAAAAAAATAAAAGTCGTTTTTTCGCCGCAGCAGATTCGCGTTCGGTGTGGAAGCACTCATTACACAAACAGCTGATCAAAAAATAAAACCATCGCGCGAATTATTCGCGCGTCAAAATCGCGTTCAGTGTGAAAGGGCCTTTAGATCGAGAGAGTAGCCTACAATAATTTGATTAGACAAGCAGCTAATTCTAAGAACGTGGATATGTTGTACAAGTTGTTAGCACTAGTAGAAGACCAAGAGCAAAACATTACCGACATAAATGCACAAAATCAAACAAAAAAATAATGAATAATTTCGCAGATTCAACCACTGTCTATTTGGAAGCTTGTTTCCGCCACTGAATAAAAAAATAAAAAAATAAATAATTGCGACTTTTTATCTCAAAATTGTGAGATATGAAGTCAGAATTGTGAGAAATAAAGTCAGAATTGCGTGATATAAAGCCAGAATTGCGTGATATAAAGTCAGAATTGCGTGATATAAAGTCGCAATTCTAAGAGAAAAAAAAAAACAGAATTGCGACTTTTTTCTCACAATTGCTAGTTTACATCTCGCAATTCTGACTTTATAACACATAATTGCGAGTTTATATGTCGAATTTCTTACATCTTTTCTCAGAATTGTAAGATATATACTCGCAATTGCGAGTCTCAAGCCAATTCTAAGGGGGAAAAAATACTACGTTTTCCCCCTCAGAATAGTTTATCTCTCTCAATTCTGACTTTATAACACGCAATTGTGACTTTATAACACCCAATTCTGACTTTATATCACGCAAATCTGACTTCACATGTAAACTCGGCCGTAGACATACGCTGCGGAGTGCGGACTGCGGAGCGAGCGGGAAAACCTGGAGCGGATTGGCGGAATCAACGGAATGCTTTGAGCAAAGCGGAGCAGGTGGGCAGGAGGGGCACCTCAGTCGATGAGGGCAGAGGGGCAGTGGCTCTAGCCACCGGGCCACCCCCCTGTGCACGGCCTCTGCTCAAAATGCATATAGATAACACGCCACTTGATTCGAAAGTGTCGTGTATGTTTACCCAAAAGTAATGATGTCATGTTGCTTTTAGCACTATCACTGCTTTCTGTTTGGCAGAAAAGATCGGCTCAACTTTTCGAGAAACAAAATAATCATAGGTCTCCAGACTTTTGAAAGCCTTTAATCTTTCATGAGTGAAGGGTCCAGGGGTCCAGATTAGTGGCCAAGACACGGGCGAGTCGGACCAACGTTTTTTGACATCCCAAATCATATGGGCTTTGAATAACTTCAATTTTGTCACCAATACAAATTTTGAGCTTCTCTCCAAAAACCTCCTCCGGTCTTCAGATATTAAAGTGCTTATATATTGTGGATTTTGCCTACTAACTCTCTTGAAAGTGCTTGTCACGTCTTTACACCCGGCCATTCTGTTTGTTTTATTGCCACACAACGACTCTCGCATGCGTACAAAGATGTCAACAAAGATCCTCCTATTGCCAATTCTCAAATGGTTTCATGCATTTCTACCTCAGAAAAGGAGGTTCAGGCCTGAAATAATTTGAGTTTTTGTTGTCTACTAGAGGGAGGGTGAAATTGCTCAAAAGCAGTGGTTTTGAATCATCTTGCACATTGTGTTTGCCTCTCTTATCTGACACATTTCAGTTTATAGAGCTTTCAACTAATGAGCTGATAATCAGGTGTGACACATAATAACGGAGACTTACAAAATGTGCAGGATTGTAAACCACTGCTCTGGCGACCAAGAGTGCCTGTTCATCCATCTTTCCATGCACAAGGGAAAGACAATAAACCCGTAGGTTCAGTTTCTATGTATCTCGAGTAGGAATAAAAAATAAAAGTGTACCGAGAGTTTGTGACCTGTTGGTACGCAAGAGTCTTTCTCGGTACCATAACGCAGGTCTGCCGCTATTGCATAAACCCGGGGTACCTAATTTATGCTTCTGGAGGGACTATCCAGTAGAGATTAGCTCCAACCATAAATAAACCTAAATAAGCCTGGTAATCAAGGTCTTTAGAAGTGCTAGAAGTTCCAGGCAGGTCTGTTGGAGCCAAACTCTGCAGGATGTTTGCCCTCCAGGAGCAGGATTGGATACCCCAAAACATTCACAAACACGTGCCATGCCATGTTTGTTTTTTGGGTATGTAGTCACATAAACAACATGTAGCGTCATAATCCATTGTTACCATTAATTTCTCAAGTCTGTGGAAACACTGGGCCGCTTCGAAACAGGTTTGCCTGAACATTGGCTGAGAATTGGGTCTTGCACCATTTTAGTGAAAAAGGGGTGAGCTTAATTATTCCTTAACGTCAGCCTACCAATGAACCAATAACTTTTTGCTTTCAGGAATGGAAGAACCTAAAGCATAAAAGGGACCAGAACTACCAGAAGATTATTTGCTGTCTAGTGCACCGTTACCTGACCTCCACAAGGCAGAAGATGCAAAGCACTGACCAAGCCACGGTAGAGAACCTCAACGATCTCCGGCAAGACCTATCCAAGTTCCGCAATGAAATGAGGGACCTTTTGGGCTTCCGTACTTCAAAATATGCCATGTTCTACCCCAGAAGCTAAGCCATGACCATTTAGTAAAAATGACCCAGCATGTTCAGCAATGCTCTTCTTCTTTTTCTTTGGAAGATGTAAGGTGACAAAAATCCCTGGGACTCCACTGGAATTCTATTAAGCTCTGTTTATTCTACAGCCTCCAGAACCATAACTTATGTAATATTCTTGCATCCTACTTGTTTTCTAAAAGTGTCATCGTTTTCAAATAAATAACATTTATTATAAAGAAACATTTTCTATTGAACTTGCTTAGTTTTAGCAACTGTTTCAGCGTACTCAGTGTTTAAACGTATAGAGTTCTTCAAACCTTGATGACCCAGTGTTCCTGAAATCGCATACTGTCGGTACTGAGTAGGTACTACGTTTGAATTTAAACTTACTTCAATACCATTAAAAAAGTTTGTTCTATATGGTGTGAATAAGGGTAGTATGAATTAAATTTGAATGATTTTTTGCATTCGGCATGTTACTGTCACGTGACCTACCAGTATCAGTTGCATCGCTTCACTGCCATTCATAAATCCTCTCCAATGGCCTCAAGGTCGCATCCGGTGTAGACACGGTGTAACTCTTTCACCCTGTTCTGACTCTGGGTTCATTTCCTAATTGACTCAAGGTTTTCTTGTTTCAGACAGGGAAAAATCCCATAGATATGTCTATTTATGACTGAGGCTTTTCAATCTATGAGTAAACCGTAGACAAAGCTTTCAAGGTTGAAAAAAAAACCCTTTACTTTTCTAGTTAATTGGCAGCAAAAAAAAGCAGTTCATTAAAAAATATACCCACATTTACATGACAACACCTGTTCATTATTCATTACTGGGACATTGTTACTCATCATTTCACAGTGACAGTCTACTTAATCCTAATGATCAAGGAGAGTATGTAAAATTCTCATAACTGTTTCTGGCACAAGAAATATTGAGCAACTTTATTATGCGAGAAAAAAAAGAATGTTACACAATTATAGAATATGGCCATTTTAATAGTTTACTAAGGAGTTAAATGTTAGAATAGTGCCCTTCACAGTCAAGCACTATGAGCCCTATGCAATTTTAGAAACAGATGTCCTGACATGAATATGTGGACTACTTAAATATTTTCAACTGAAAACTTCCTTGAAACAAAACTGATTCTGGAAAATAATGCAATTAATTTACAAAAATAAAAAATAAAAACAGGAAGACAATATCCGAGATTTAAACGATAATGAACTTTTATTTTTCCATCATAAAACAAATAATTTATAACTTAACATTCGCCTCTAGGAATAGGTTTCTATGAAAATATTTCAATATTATCCAGCATGATTTCAAAAACAGCAAAGATGTGCAACTAGTTTGACTTTTAGCTTTTCTAACTTTGTTATTGGATTAAAAATCTACAAATATCTTGTAAACTGTGCAATTCAAAACACCATAATCTTACTCTTCACATTCCAGTATTCTTGACCTGTCTTATTACTTTCGCTCTTGCTGTCATTTTGATGCTCATCACAACAGTAAGAAGAGAAGTAGGAACCAAGAGATTCCAACCAGGTGTGTGCCACGTGCTTCGACAGTCCTCGGCCTCCTCAGAAGAGGGTGATGAAGGAAGTTGGGACATGCAGGGCAAATATGAAGACATCACACACCCATGTGTGGATTTCAAGACTAAAGATTTTCCGTAGAAAGCTCAGCAACGTTTGTTCTTCAGCATGTTAAAGGCCCTCTGGTTCTTGGCCTTAAAAGCCATGATGAAATGATGGGGGGCGATCATTCCACGGCCCTCCTCGTCTGCATGGCCCATGAAGATGTAGTTCAAACCTAGCGACACCACACAGAAAAAACCTGAATGCAGTGACGGAACGGCAGAGACATTCAGGAAGGGCTTTGGATCAGCTTTTCTCTGGGGCCTCACTCGCTCTATCCACTCCATATGTTTATATACTTTATAAACATATGAGAGTGAGATTTTGTCATGAAAAAATACATTTTGTTAGTGAGTATGGCTGTTAACTTCATCATTACTAAGCAATGGTTAATGGGGTTGTCAATACATCATTAACTCATTCTCGTCATTACTAACTCTGTGAGTTAACCCCAAAATGAAAATTTTGCCATGTTTTACTCGTTCTTGTTGTCCCAAACTCGCATTCGGTATTTTTTTTTTTATGAACAGTGAACATTTCCATAACCTCTTCTAGGTGGAGTAAAGTTCAGTTTTTGACTGAAATGTTTATTTAAAGGTGCATTCAGTAGTTATTTAGCTATCATTAGCATTGCTGTCCTTTAAAGGGATACTTCACCTCTGGAAAGATGACTGTGTATTCATCTTAATGTGTAAAATGGGTCATTTATGTAAAAGAAATGTGAAATTATTTTTGAATTTGGAGCTTTCTAGACTGAGAAAAGCCAGAAAATGTATTTGCGGCTTATGTGGATGAAAGACAACGACTCCCAGAATGCACTTTCTCCGCTGCCCTAGGAGGCCACACCTGCCGGTAACAGAGCGCAGTAGGTAAACAACAAGTCTAGGCTACTAGTGAGTTTCCGTGATGAGTCTGCCTGGGATTTCGAGATCGCCCAAAATATCCGGGATTCGGCATTTGCGTTCTACAGTCGCCATTCATCATGTTTAATGCAGGACGAGTGAGGCCCGCGGGAGAATGGCGCGAGGCCGGTGGCGTGATTACCAATGAGCGACACCTGTGAGATGCACCGGTCTCGTATCTCTCACAGAGGAGCGGGAATTTTCTTAGCAATGTTAAAACGCACATCAACCGATCACTTTTTGTACGATCTCGACGACCGGACATGTCGGCGAAAAAGAGGATGATGGAAGATGGTAACCCCTACTACTCAGCTTTCTCCTACTAAGTTACTCTGCTTTCTCCACAGAACAAGAGCCTGCTAGCTTAGCTTCCAAAAAAGATGGCTGACACTATGTGTTCATTCTGTGAGTGAGATCGCCCTCTATGGGCGGGTTGGGAACATGCGGGACAGTCCCTACTATTGACTGTAGTCTTTAGCCTCTATAGCCACAAAAAATCAGATGACGTAAAATGATGATTTTTACATCATCTGAGGATTTTTCCAGAAAAAAATACATAAATCTCTCATCTCAGGGTGATATGAGGGTGGAAAGCACGGCAATTTGAAAATACTACAGGTTTTCTACTAATACAAAGCTTAACGCTAAATCCTGAAGTATCCCTTTAAGAACAATACGACAATAGTGTTAAACGCTGCGCTGCCATCTATCGATGTGGATCAGTATGATCTTCTCCTGAGTTTTATGGAAATTACACTGATACTAGTGAGTTTTAGGCCATGTGAACACAGCAGCAGAATATGGTTGTTTTTAATGAAATCTGAGAGCTTTCTGTCCCTTAATTGACAGAAAGCTCTCAGTGTCCTGTCCCTTCTCTACTTTTCTCTCAGTGTCCTGTTCCTTCTCTATTCTGTCCCTTGACCCCCCAGAACATGCGTTCAATATCTGCATGCAATATCTGCTCTCGCATCATCTCAAGACGCATGCGTCGTGGTGTTCTCCTGAACATGCATTGAAGATTCATATTTTGTTAATAAAATGGTAAATAGTTTTTTGGGGGTTTTTTCGCAAACAAATCATTTGAGTCACTTCATAAAACTGAGGTTAAACCACTGAAGTCACATGGATTACTTTAATGATGTCTTTACTTCCAGTGGAGGGACAGAAAGCTCAGATTTCATGAAAAAGATTTTCACTTTTGTGTGAACCATCCCTTTATTACGGTAATCTTCACACATGGTACAGTTATTTACGTGAGTTAAAATCGCATTCTCATGGCTGTAATCTCACGGCTGTAAATTGTCAAAATCGTATTGTCACAATCGTAAAAAACTGTGCTGTGTCAATGGAAACAGACTGGACAAATAGTTTTCACGTCATAAAGTGTGAGTGTAACGGAGGCCAGCTAGTAGTTGCTGTGTGAGTAAACCTCACTCCCCGATCTCAATAGGCGCTCTAGCGACAGACGCTAGAGGCTGCAGTCTTTAGCCTCCTTGTTAGCGCGCCTGACTCTCATGCCGGAGACCCGGGTTCGAGGCCCGCTCGGAGCGGGTCGAGTTGGACCCGGGTGTGAGGGGTTACATTGGTGCCGTGACCCGGATGAGAGTGAGGTTTAGGGGGGTGAGTGTATAGGAGGCCAGCTAGTAGTTGCTGTGCGAGTAAACCTCACTCCCCGATCTCAATAGGCGCTCTAGCGACAGACGCTAGAGGCTGCAGTCTTTAGCCTCCTTGTTAACGCGCCTGACTCTCATGCCGAAGTCCCGGGTTCGAGGCCCGCTCGGAGCGGGGCGAGTAGGACCCGGGTGTGAGGGGTTACATGAGGCCACTGCTTTGCTCAGCACAAACCATGTCTACCATGTGTGGTTTTGCTTACGGTAAATTACAGCGACAGAGATGACGAAATGCCTTTTTTTGGGGGCCTGCGGCCGAAACTCTCCCACCTTGTGGCTAGGAAGCACGGCCTACACCGAGCTCATAGCCGTGCCAACAGTGCTACTAAGAGGCTCAACATTGAAAGTCTACTAGCCTAATGATTATTTTTTGATCATTTCCCCTGAGGATGTAATCCCTGGGATTAAACAATACTTGGGTGATCTAGGCCAGTCTGCTAAGCCAAGTCTTAGAAATTTGGGAGTTATCCTTGACAAAGACATGTCGTTAGTGCAGCACTGCAAGCAGCTGACGAGAAACTGCTTCTTTCAATTAAGGAAAATCTCGAAACTTAGAAATATGGTTTCAAGAAATGATTTGGAGCTTATCATTCATGCCTTTGTGTCTTCGCGTTTAGATTATTGTAATAGTCTATTTTTATGCCTAAACCAGAAGGAGCTCTCTCGACTGCAATTAGTCCAAAACTCTGCAGCCAGAATTTTAACACGCACAAATAGGAGGTCTCACATATCCCCAATCCTAAAAGAACTTCATTGGTTACCAGTGTCTTATAGGATAAATTTTAAAATTTTGGTTTTAGTTTTCAGAGCTTTACATGGCCAGGCTCCCCCTTATATTAGTGACCTAATTCAGCGTTATGCCCCTGTACGTGCTCTGAGGTCTGTGGATCAGAACCTGCTGACGGTTCCACGCACTCGCTACCGTACTAGAGGTGACCGATCTTTTCAGGCAGTTGCCCCCAGGTTATGGAATGACCTTCCACCGTCTATGCGCTCCTCTGATTCTGTTGATGTGTTTAAATGCAGACTTAAGACACATTTATTTGTTCAGGCTTTCAATTAGCTACCTGTGGGTTGATATGATCATGTACTGTTTATGTTTTTATTGTGTGTATTTTATGATATAAATTGTTTTTGTTGTAAAGCACTTTGTGGCCCTATACCTGTGAAAGGTGCTATATAAATAAACTTTTACTTTACTTTACTTCATTATTTTTTGTCACCCAAGCTCTACAAGCACTTTCTGTGCGGCCAATCTAATTTGCACCCCATTTTAAGGATCTTCATTACAAGATCAAGATCCTGGAAGCAGTCATTTTCCCGTTTACTGTATAGCGTTTCGGAGTGCAGCGGTTTGCAGCGAATTCATGCTTCAGGTACAGACGTTGCATAAAAAATAAAACACTTTCGCTCCATTCCAGAAGTCTAAGCTCCCCTCAAAGCCCTGAATGACCACTTACAAATACTACATGGCGGCTGGCCAGGCAGATATGGCGCTTCATGCCTTGGTCATTCTTCAGGCCTACCAAGTGGACGTCCTTAAAACATCCTTGAAATGAACGAGGAAGGGGGCCTCTTAAAAATAGATTTTTTTTCTTTTTTAAATATTACAAAAAAATATAGCTCACGTTAGTTCAATTGCAAACCTGTTGGAAATTATTATAGTTTGTGGAAAACAACCTGAAATATTCCTTTATTTTTCCACACCGGGAAGCAAACAAGCATTACTAAGAGGGACACAACTACTTATTCAATATGCAAGGATACAGTAATGTGTTTTAGCAGATGTCTGTGGCAGATAAACCTGTCTAGCACATTAAGCCCAAAGTATTCTTCACTTTTAAAGCATTCTCTAGGGTCTGTGTACAGTGCGTATGACGTGAATTTTATCGTCAACACAGTATGGACATAAAGACATATACGCAGGCAGCCCAAGTTTTATAACAGCACACACTTTGTACGCGCAGGCTGCATATGCACTGAAATGTTTGTTTGTTTGTTTTTTTGCAAAAATTAGTTTGTCCACAATGTGACAACGCATGCAAATTTCTGTATTTGTGCACGTTTCTGTATTTGGATGCGTTGTTAGCATTTTGCAGCACATTTGTTATCAAAATGAAGATGTTTTCTTAAAGGGTTAGTTCACCCAAAAATGAAAGTTCTGTCAGTATTTACTCACCCTCATGTTGTTCCAACCCCGTAAGACCCTCGTTTATCTCCGGAACACAAATTAAGATATTTAAGATATTAAGATCGCTCCTGGATACTAGTCCATAGGCTTCTTGAGGGAATGACACTTGATGGCATCTATAAGTCATTAAAGACATCGTTAAAATAGTCCACGTGACTACAGTGGCTCAATCTTAAGTTTATCAAACGACGAGAATACTTTTTGTGCGCCAAAACAAACACAAACAACGACTTTATTTCAAATATTTACTTCCTTCTCTATGGGCCTGTAGTCAGTTAACGTAGTGTGATAGCGTAGAGCTACGTCACACGTAGGCTCACTATTGGCGGACGCTGGTCATGTGTGTGATGCGTGTGACGTACAATAACAGAAGCTTACGCTATTAAACTAGTAACCTGACTCAAGGCAGAGAGAGAAATAAACTAATAGTTGAAATAAAGTCGTTATTTTTGTTGTTTTTTGCGCACAAAAAGTGTTCTCGTCGTTTGATAAACTAAAGATTGAGCCACTGTAATCACTTGGACTATTTTAACGATGTCTTTAATGACTTTTCGAGGCCATCAATTGTCATTCCCTCAAGAAGCCTATGGACTAGTATGCAGAAGTGGTCTTAATATCTTAAATATCTTAATTTGTGTTCCGAAGATGAACGAAGATCATGAACATGAGGGTGAGTAAATACTGACAGAATTTTCATTTTTGGGTGAACTAACCCTTTAATTTGCTGGTGTTTTTTCTATTTGCATCTTTTCTCTGTTGCAGCATGTTAAACTTTATGCTATTTACAGCACATTTCTGTATTTGGTTGCATTGTGAGTATCTGTAGTGCTTTTCTGTATTGGGTGGCATTGTGAGTATTTGCAGAACATTTCTGTATTGGGATGCATTGTGAGTATTTGCAGAACATTTATATGTGGTTGCATTGTGAGTATTTGCAGAACATTTCTGTATTTGGATGCATTGTGAGTATTTGCAGAACATTTCTGTATTTGGTTGCATAGTGAGTATTTGCAGACCATTTCTGTATTTGGTTGCATTGTGAGTATTTGAAGACCATTTCTGTATTTGGTTGCATTGTAAGTATTTGCCAACCATTTCTGTATTTGGTTGCATTGTGAGTATTTGCAGACCATTTCTGTATTTGGTTGCATTGTGAGTATTTGAAGACCATTTCTGTATTTGGTTGCATTGTAAGTATTTGCCAACCATTTCTGTATTTGGTTGCATTGTGAGTATTTGCAGACCATTTCTGTATTTGGTTGCATTGTGAGTATTTGCAGAATGTTTCTGTATGTGGTTGCATTGTGAGTATTTGCAGCACATGTTGTCAAACTGACGAAGACGTTTCTGTATTTACAGTAGGTGCGTTGTAAGTATTTGCAGAACATTTCTGTATTTGGTTGCATTGTGAGTATTTGCAGACCACTTCTGTATTTGGTTGCATTGTGAGTATTTGGAGAATGTTTCTGTATTTGGTTGTATTGTGTGTATTTGCAGAACATTTCTGTATTTGGTTGCATTGTGAGTATTTGCAGAACATTTCTGTATTTGGTTGCATTGTGAGTATTTGGAGAACGTTTCTGTATTTGGTTGCATTGTGATTATTTGCAGACCATTTCTGTATTAGGTTGCATTGTGAGTATTTGCAGAACATTTCTGTATATGGTTGCATTGTGAGTATTTGCAGAACATTTCTGTATATGGTTGCATTGTGAGTATTTGCAGAACATTTCTGTATTTGGTTGCATTGTGAGTATTTGCGAAACATTTCTGTATTTGGTTGAATTGTAAGTATTTGCAGAACAATTCTGTATGTGGTTGCATTGTGAGTATTTGCAGAACATTTCTGTATTTGGTTGCATTGTAAGTATTTGCAGAACATTTCTGTATGTGGTTGCATTGTGAGTATTTGCAGACCATTTCTGTATTTGGTTGCATTGTAAGTATTTGCAGAACATTTCTGTATGTGGTTGCATTGTAAGTATTTGCAGAACATTTCTGTATGTGGTTGCATTGTGAGTATTTGCAGACCATTTCTGTATTTGGATGCATTGTGAGTATTTGCAGAATGTTTCTGTATGTGGTTGCATTGTGAGTATTTGCAGCACTTCGTCAAACTGACGAAGATGTTTTTTTAATTTGCTGGTGTTTTCTCTATTTGCATGTTTTCTTCAGCTCTCTCAGTCACTGTACAATAGTGCCCCATAGTTGTTGATTCACATGGTAGTCAAAGAATAAACTGAAGATACAGAGAGGTACAGAAGCTTGTGCCAGCTACAACAACAATGGACGGCTACGTGGATGAGAGATTGGGCAGTGAGGTTAGAAAGTACCCACATTTGTACAACTTTAGCGTAAAATATGAAAAATATGTGTATAACTCATGGGGAGATATTTTTCTGGTGATCTCCGGTAGTGCAAATCATGATGCGCAAGCATCAAATGGATAATACTTTGGAAAGGCTTTGCATATACAGTATAACTGTGCGCATACACTAGTATCCGTTGGGTTTAAGTGTTACTGTTTACAACAAGCGGAGGCAGGCACTTACCTCGTCTGACATAGGGGCACTTCTTGCAAAGGATGACAATCTTTGTGCTCATGGTTTTGCCAGCCTGCTGGATAGCAAGGTTACCTTCCTTGTAGACATTGATTATGGAGATGGTGGCATACATGCTACCTTCTCGCGTTACAGCGGTGATAACAGTTCCAGTGATCACTAAAATGTCAAAAAAAAAAAAAAAAACATGTGTTAGAGACGACTAATAAGAATGTGATTGAATTATCCTCATTTGGGTGCTTTTCTTTTTTTTTTTTTTCTTTTTTTTTGGGTATGATTTTAGCAGTGTTGGGAAAAGTTACTTTTAAAAGTAATATGTAATAATGTTGTGTTACTTCCAAAAAAAGTAAATAATTGTGTTTCAATTCAATGCTCTTATTTCAGCAATTAAAACAAATTAAAATGAAAAACAGACGTTAAGTCATTTTTTCCTTGTTAGTATGGTTGAATTTGATCATTGAAGGTCAGCAGTAAAGACATGGCGATGAAATACTAAGTATATTTGTGTTAGCACTTAATTTTGACAGTTTTTATTCATTTTGAGAAATTATTATTATTATTTTTATTTACTCACAATATCAAAATGAGGACAGGAGAGGTGTCAGTCATCCATGGGAAAACAATGTAACGCGTTACTTATTTGAAAATGTACCTTGTATTTTATGTAGAAAATGTATTTTATTTAAAGCTAAAAGTAGTGCATTACTTTAATAAAAGTAATCTGATTACACGATGTGTAATGCGTTACCCCAACACTGTTTTTAGTACTTCAAATAAACTTCTCCTGATACACTAAATAGTAGAAGTAGTCATTTAAAAATGGTAAAATTAGGATATGTTGAATGGCTTAGGCCCATTATTTGAACATTTATTTGGTAGCACTTTAGATATTCTACTAACTATAAGTAACTTTGCAGCAATATGTCAACTAACTGTCATAAGACTATTAGTAGTCTGTTTAATATCTACTACATTTTGATGCTCCCCCAACAGACATTACTGACTATAAGTAACTTGGCAACTACAAGTCAACTTGTTCTCCTAGCCCGAACCCTAACACCTAACCATAAACTAACAGTCTACTGACAGTCTATTACAGTCTACTAATATTCTAATGAGTGTTAGTTGACATGTAATTGAAAAGTTACTTATAGTTAGTAGAATGTCTAAAGTGGACTATCGAAATAAAGTGTAACCATTTATTTTCATAAACTTGTGTTTATCCATTTCCGCTGTAAATAAACGGTTTGATTAAAGCAATTTGACTCGATGCGCATGTCATTTTCCACCTTCGTTCACATTCAGGTCTTGTTTCAAATCATGACTCTGGTCTCCACCAACCACAGGATTTCCCCATATGCAAATCCAAGTAAACAGCAGAAATCATAATGAAATATCTACTCGCTCCTGGACGTGAACATTGCAGACCTGTTCCAGGGGCAACGACTGCGGCCAAAGAGCTCGACTAAATCAACACTTCCATTTACCAGTGGTTTAGCCACAGTCCACTGCAGTCTATTTACACTAGAGCACTGTATCCCACACACAAATCCACTGTGCTGAGGGCAAAAAAATGCTCAAGGAATCTTTTGAAACACGTTGACACAAACCAGCAGGCCAAAGATAGCATGCTGAAAAAGAGACCCATAAAAACATGCACCTTGTGAAGAGTACAGGATTCTAGACTAAATGTGAACAATCACTGCTTGTTTCCACTTATTCTGATGCCCCACACCTACAAATTCCCACCTCAATTTGCGCTTGTGTGTGTTTGTCTTCATGTGTCAGCAAAAAAGTTAGTATCAACTGCAGAGTGCTGTTCTTACCAAAGTTGCTGGAACAGTAGTGGCTCTCAGGGGTTCCCTTCCGTTTGCATTTCTGTTGACACAGCGCTGCAGAGTACTTCAAAGCTGGAGAGGAGAGCAGAGATAGCAAAAAAAAAAAAAAAAACACCTTCAAAAAGTTTTACTGTAGCATGCTGACTCTGAGCCAGTGGAGTTTGTCTTTTAGTATATGCGTGCAAAAAGTGAGAAAGTGTGTGTTAGGTTCAAGCTCCGGAAATTTGCTAATTGCCAATTTCGAAGAACAAAAGGATGGAAAATTGCCTGAATTTCCTGTCTGTCGATTATACATTTACTTCATTAAATGAAACAATTTATGATATGCATCAAATAATATCAGTATACATTTAGTATTGTAGCAGTGTTGTACTCCCAGCTCTATTTAACATTATTTCAAATAATTTAACAAAGAATGCTTTTCACAGAATTCACACATTGAGTACAAATGTCAAATTTTGGAAATGCTAGGATATAGCTCACAAAAATGTGGGGTCTTAAGATTTTTTAATGCTTTTGAAATTATGCTCGCCAAGGCTGCATTTATTTGAACACAAGTACAGTAAAAAACGTAATAATGTGAAATACAGTTATACTTTAAAGCAGACTGTTTTCTATTTGAATAGTTTTAAACTGTAATTTATTTCTGTGATGGAAAATCAAAATTTTCAGCTTCATTCCTCGAGTCTTCAGTATCACGCGATCCATCAGAAATCATTCTAATATGCTGACATGGTGTTTAAGAAGCATTTCTTATTATTATCAATGTTGAAAACAGTTGTGCTGCTTCATATTTTTGTGCAAACCCTGATCAATTGTCTTCAGGACTCTTAAAGGGATACTCCACTTTTTTGGGAAAAAGGCTCATTTTACCACTCCCCCAGAGTTAAACAGTTGGGTTTTACCGTTTTCTAATGTATATATATATATATATATATATATATATTTAGAAGAATATCAGTAACCAGACAGTTTCTGGTCTCATTGACTTCCATAGTATATATATTTTTTCCTACTATGGAAGTCAATGAGATCAGAAACTGTCTGGTTACTGATATTCTTCTAAATATCAGAAAATCGGCTGAATGGATTTGAAAACGGTAAAACTCAACGGTTTAACTCTGGGAGAGTATTTCAAAAAAATAAAAAATAAAAATAAAAGACACTTTAGCTTCCTTTGCTAACCTGATGTATTAATTTCCCTTTTGTTTCCCCTAGACGGCAAAGACAATTATGACAATAATGAAGAGCAAATGTGGTCAAATTTTAATTTTCTGAAAAAGTCTATAGTAAATTTTTGATTTAATATACTTTTTACTGGAAAACATGACAGAAATACTGATTAAGAATGATTTTGCCAGCAACATGATCAAATACACACAGTGTCAGTTGTCCTCTCACACTTTTTGTTCCATCTCTCATTGACAGGATTACAATGAGTGATCTTGCATCATTTACTTTCCACTACATCTTCATCTAATGGAAAGAAAACATGTGTATGTAGCAGATGTACAATACAATTACATATGACTGCAGTTTCATAAGGTGCTAGAAAGCTAATTCATTTGTTTCTAATGTGACTGGTTTCATCTTGCGGAAAACTGGAATGGCTGGTGACAAATGGCTAAAACAAATTAACATGGCAGCAGATAAATCATGGTTGAGTTGATTTTTTTTATTATTTAATTTTAAATAAGACGTATTATGTTTTTTAACGTTTTCGACTTTCTTCAGTGTGTAATGTTGCTGTTTAAGCGTGAAAAACCTCTATTACACAGTCCTTCCAGAGTTTTTTTGTGATTGTTGCGGGCAAAAATCCTTGATTACGCGGCCCGTTTTCTTTAAAAATGCGATGGAATATGCGGGATATTTATTCAATTTTATGCGACGAAATTGCGGGAACTTGTAAAAATTGCGGAAACTTGCAAAAATTGCGGGAATTTGCAAAAAGTGCGGGAACTTGCAAAAACTGCGGTTTGATGAAAAAGAGAAAAAAATGCCCCAACACCCTGTTCTCACTAGGCTACTACCTTGATGTAAAGAGTCATTTCTTATTACTTCCTTTGATAAGCAAGCATACTACATCATAGAAAGTGCTGGAAATATTTAATTTCTCATCTTGTTTTATTTCAGACTATAACGAGTGTAAATAAGGTGTGGCCGCTTTAAGAGCTGCGCGCTCCCTGTTGAATTGTCTGCAGTGTTATATATGTGCGCCTCAAACACCCCATGTGTGCGGGTAGCTATCCTGTCGCCGTCGTGTAATTGCAACACATTTTTCAACTTTTTGCTAAGATATATGTGACTTTTTTGCAACGAAAATGCGAGGATTATGAAATCATGCAAACCCCGCATATTTTGCACGGAAATCGTCAATTTATGCGGCGAAAGTGCGGCTTATTTGAAAAAATGCGGCCCCCGCATAAGTATGCGGACTTTGGCTGATTTGGCATTGAATTCAGCGATCGCATAATCGCGTTTTTCTGGAGGGACTGATTACAGGTTATTCTCGATATAAGTACACACTGTTTCTGAACAGTTTCCATTGTAGTCCTTACAATATTCTAAATTTAAATAATTCCTGCTCAAAGCATATGCAAAATAAAGGGGACGAGGCCTGATTGAGTTGCATTAATAGGGCATTGAAACTCGTGGCAATGGTAAGGGGCGTGACATTGCTGAAACACGCTCAAAGAAGTTGACCAATCACAACACACCGGGGTCCAGCCGACCAATTAGAGCACATTGCACTTTTTGGACGGAGCACTTAGAGACCGGAACTAAATAGAGTATTACTGACAGACTGGGAAGAGAGGTGCTGCGACAATTTAAAATATATGAAAGATTTGGCCATGTACCTATTCTAGTAGACCTCAAAAACTAAATCAAGACTTTGTAAAAGGGCTTCTTTAACTGCAAGTCAACATCTAGGTTAACATTAAACCCTCCACCTACATGCAGTATGATTCGGGAGAATACTTACGTATTGGTCTAGTGGTAGTGGGTGGTGCTGTCGTGGTTGGTGGAACGGTTGTGGAGGGAAACTTCTTTGGTCTAAATTTGTAATGCCCAATAAAGCCATCCGCTGTTAAACTGAGATCTGAGAGGAACTGTATGAAGAGCTGATTCCCCTCTGAGAACACAGGTCTAAAGCAGAGAGATACACAGAATGTTAAGTGCAAATAAAGAAGTATTGCTAACAGAAGTATGTTTACACCTTGAATATAGAGCATAGGACTGTAGTAATACATTTGATTTGATATATATAATGCATTGATACATACGCTGGTGGACTGTCTCCACAATATTTCCCAATTCTTTTAGCGTCGTTGATTTCTCCCCCATTAAAAATGGCTACGTAATCGTAACGGCAATAGTTGTCGCGCTCCACATCGAACTTCTCAAATTTTAACTCTATAATCTGTAAAAAAGGACAAATGTTTAAGCTATTTGTGAAACACACGATTAAGGAATATCTAAAATAATGATGGCATTACACTTTTAATCAACGCTACTTGTAACGCTTTTTTCACCCATTTTAATAAAATCGTAAGTGTAAGAAAAATAATTATATTTTTAGGTATCGTTCATGGTTGTAGTCCAATCCAGTTATTTATATAGTGCTTTATAAAACACAGATTGTTTCAAAGCAGCTTCACTGTGATAAAATAAGTATTAATGTTGTAAAATGAATAATGAATCTTTATCTATGAATCTTTTAATTTCAGGTGTAAGACAGCACTACAAAAGAAAATAGTGTTCTTATACAGCTCAATTTAGTAAAGTGTTGTTTTATTTCAGTTCAATGTCAAAGTTGCAAAGTTCATCAAATATGAACATTTCAATTCAGCTATAGCTATAAAGAAGAAAATAGTGTCATTATTCAGCTCAAGTCAGTTTAATGTTGATTCAATTCAGTTCAATAACAGTGTCGATGTTGCAAAGTTAGGGTGTGTTCACACTTGGCAGGTTTGGTTCGATTATAACCTTGGCTTGGCTCGAATGGTCGTGATGTCACAAGATGCGACCATAAAATGGACAGCTCAAGCATACATGTTTTTTTCTTGTCTCGTTTCGAGCAGTGTTGCCCACAGTTTGGTACAGATGTCAGAACTGTGTCTCCTGGCACTGTTTTGACTCCTTTACATAATTTGTTGGTAGAAATATCACTACATGTATGCGCATATATCAAGCACGATTAGCCCAACACACAGCATTGTTTTGGAAGTTCCATTGCAAAACATACATTTAGGTTTGGTCTTAAAAATGACTGAATGCCAAGCAAACCAGGACTAAATGCCTTTTTTTGGGGGGTCCAGACCAAAAGAACCAAGAGAACTGAAGTACAAGTGAGAACACACCTTTAGAGTCATTATCCAGATCAATTCTGTACAAATGATATCGATAATATTGTTGATTGTCTGTTAAGCCATTCTTGTTTTTGTAGCCAAGTTAAGGATAAAATAAATAATGATGAGTCCACCTGGTTCTTGGGTGCTACTATATGCCAAGAACACGTGACTCCAGCAGGATAGTCTTTCTCTGGCCAGTTAGGGGTCTTGAAGGTTCCTGATGGCTTCATCAATCTCCCACCACAGTACTGATCCCCTGTAAACATCCATTCAGACAGACGTTCAGGAAATGTTTCCTAAACTCCACGAGAGAAACGCTAAACATAGACCAAGCATCCAGTGTGAGGTCGTTCACCCCTAATTAAAAGGAATGCATGAGATAATTGCACAGCACCATCATTGGCGGACTCTAAAATGTACTTCCCTACAGTCTTGTCATTACGAGAGAGTTTACAGACTTGTTGGTCCCAGTGTGCAGTTCCTGCCTTAATCCTTCAACACAGCTGCCAAAGCCCTTTATCCGTGCTGATGCTTCTAAAACTGTATGCCAAAGAAAGCAGTGTGTATTGATTTTGGTGCCTATATTAAAAGGTGCTAAGCCTTTTTTTGACCCAGAAAATATGATGAAACTGCACTATAAACAGGATTTTTGGATGGCTAAGCTAGACCCGTCATAAATGTTTCCAATCATATTTCACCTCAAAATCACAAGGAAATAATATTTTGAATTCAAACACAAGTCCTTTGTAGGTTTACAATACTGTACACTAATTTTAAAGGTGCACTTTATAACTTTTTCTGTTCAAAATGTAGCCTATACATTAACATTTAGTCATTTAGCAGACGCTTTTCTCCAAAGCGATTAGACCTGAGAACTAAACCAAGCGAGTCATCGTGAAGAGGCAAGTGCTCAAAATGCAAAGTTCAGACATTGCTCGGAGTAGCACAAGCCAGACAAGCGAGGATTTAAAGGAAAAGGAAAGAACGTTTTTGTTTTTTTATGTTAAAAGGTACACTGTGCAGGAATTCTATTTGTCAAACAGCGACCCCTAAAGTCACTGTGGAGTACTTGCACTGTCGTAACTAACAAGTGGAAATAAGGTCTGGCCCCTTTAAGAGCTGAGCGCGGGGTTATTTCTGTTTGATGCTCATTCTTATCTGAGACTCTTGTCCGGTTTTCTCACGCGGTCAGTTTCTCGTTTTCTTTTCCTTGACTCTTCCGAGCCTGTGGTCACGTGACGGTCGTAAAGCGATTCGTTCTCCAGGCATTCTCCAGGTGACATGACCTGGCCAAAGACGGTGCGTCTTCTTTAAACTTACTTAGGCCCCGTCCACACTACTGCGTTTTCGTTTAAAAACGGAGACCTTTTGCTACGTTTGCACCTCCCGTCCACACTAAAACGGGAAAAACGAAGACCTAAAACAAAGAAGTTTAGAAACGCTGCAGCTGCGTTTTGCGTTTTGAAACTCCGGAGGGCGTTTTAGTGTGGACGAGACAAAACGGAGGAGTTTACAAACGATGACGCAGAGGCTCACGCTCGGCTCTATGATTGGGTGTCATCAGTCATGACGTTTCCTTCCCTGATTCGCCAAACACTGTTTACACCGGCGCGCGCATGCCCAGTGTTGGTGAATGATGGTCACGTGATCCGCGTTTTCAGTCGTTTTAATGTGGACGGAGATCAATTCTAATACGCAGACAAAACGCTGGTGTGGACGGAGATCGTATTCGTTTTAATTCTCCGTTTTTAAACGAAAACGCAGTAGTGTGGACGGGGCCTTAGGCTGCACTTCAAGAGGGCAGCCCTGCTCGGAGCATTGATAGTGTCAAGCGCTGTATATTGGCCTGAGGAATCATTTAAAATACTGTAACTCATATGCGTCAACTCTTTTGGCATTTTTAAGTGCTCACGGAAGAGATGAGTTTTAAGTTGTCCTTTGAATGCTGTCAGGGATTCTGCATTCCGGATGAGGCAGCATGGTACTGTGGATGAGAATGTTCTGGAGTGATTTTGTTGCTCTCTGTGATGGTACCATGAGCCATCGCTCATTGACTGATCGTAGGCATCTGGTAGGGAAGTAGACTTGTAGTAGTGAGTGGAAGTAGGAGGGAGCTGATCCTCTGGTAAATGTGTAAGAATGTGTCAACGCCTTGAACTTGATGCGAGCAGCGAGTGGCAGCCAGAGCAGAGAGATGAACAGAGGAGTGACGTGGGCTCTTTTGGGCTCAATGAAGACAAGATTTTATATAACGAGCGTATCCATCTTCCAAACCATGTTTTTGTCTGATCCTAAATCGCTACGATACACCTATATACAGTAAGTATATTACTGTCTGCACAGCAGAAACGTGGGAAAAAAATAATTGTAATTGGTGCAAAATGACTAGAGAAAACAGAGAATGTAATTGTAGCAGCAAAATGTAATTTAATTATTGATTTGAATTAAAAAGCTAAAATATATTTAATTATTATGACTAATATAATTATTAATTGAAGGTGAGAAATATGACCCTTTATATATGAATATGACCCTTTTTTTCATAGTGGGTGACCAAAATAAGCACTGGCACAGCTTTTAGCACATAACTTAAAGGGATAGTTCACCTTGAAATTAATTTTGGATATGTTTTAGCTTACCTCAAGGGCATCCAAGATGTACAGTAGGTGTCTTTGTTTCCACAGTATTTTCAATTTTGATATTTTTAGGTCAAACCGTTTTTGTCTGTTAGTCATATGATGGAGATTTATGGGGTTCACCTCAAAGAGCATGCACAGAAAAGTCCAAATTAAACATGATTTAATGACTCGTAAGTGTAAGTACACATTGATGGCCTAAGACACGAAACGAGCAGTTTGTGTGAGAAAGCGAACTGCATTTATATCGTTTTTACCTCTTGTAATCACACTCGCGTCCAAATACTCTGAGGGCGCGGGGTGCTTTGTTCTGCGAAAGCACGCCGGAAAGCCCCGGCAGTGATCTCTCGCGTGTGTACGTCACTCAGATTTTAGAAGTGTTATCCTTCACTGTGAAGATCTAAACATATTTAGATATACAGGAAATTGCAATGGAAGATGATTTCGATATATTAAAAGACAACTTTGATATTTTTTATTTTTCGCAACCACACAAGAGATCACTTCCGGGGCTTTTCGGCGTGCTTGCGCAGACCGAAGCGCCCATGCCTTCAGATCACTTAGACGTGGCTGTGGTTACAAGAGGTAAAACGATATAAATACTGTTCGTTTTCTCACACATGCCGATTGTTTCATGTCTTAGGCCATCAATGTGTACTTACATATTTACGAGTCATTAAATCATGTTTGATTTTGACTTCTCTGTGCATGCTCTTTGAGGAGGACCCCATAGACCTCCATTATGTGACTGACAGACAAGAACGGTTTGACCTAAAAATATCAAAATTGAAAATACTGTGGAAACAAAGACACCTACATCTTGGATGCCCTTGAGGTAAGCTAAAACATATCAAAAATTAATTTCAAAGTGAATTATCCCTTTGAACCTGATAACATCAGTTATGTGATGACTGTAAGAAGAGCTGCACAATTCTGGATAAATAGAGTATTCTCCTATGATTCTGAATAGACAGCTAAAAAACATATTTACAAGAGGTTCTGACAAAAAAAAAAAAAAAAAAAATGGGTGGCTGTAAAATACCTCTTGAAAGTAACATGAAGCTTCAAATAAAGACAGTATCAATTCACCACTATGTAATGATATAATCTATAGCCTACTATCTTTATTTGAAGCGTCAAGTTACTTTCAAAAGTTTTTTTCCCCTTATTTTGCTCACTACTTTAGACATTAGTGTTTATATCTGAACTATAAACTTTTATTCCAGTACTTCTGTGATAATTTAAACTACTGTCCCAAAGAAATAGTGATACTTGTGGGGTTGAAAGGACTGTTTGTGAAGCGGTTTCTGCTCTCTAGCTGAGTCAGCGGCAGCCAACAAACACAGATTTGAATGTTTGCTGTGATCGTGTGAGTCAAAGGTTTGATAGACATAGCGGAATGGTTGTCATTAGGAATAAGATTGCAATGGGGGTTTGAATCGAGAAACAATTAATCACGAGGCTCCAACCGCAAGCTTCCATTGTTTCCTATACGCATCAGCTGTCCGTCAACTACCGATGGACAAAAAAAACGGAGACACAATCTAAATGATTAACATTCCAGCTGTCTTGCTTCAGCCAAGCAGTCACTTATACAGTTACTCAGTGAGCAAGACAGCCCCTGGAGGTCTGACTAATCACTGATTCACTGGAAAAACGTCTGTGAGAAATTCCACATCATGCCATGAAATACACAGCAATGTTCTCCAGCTTCCCCCAGAGTGTTCTAAATCAGCATTTGTTTAACTAGTCAGAGTAAAACCAGGTTTTTCTTATTTTTGTGTGAATCAACAAGGTCTTTCAGTGAACGGAAACGGTTTATATTGAGGCATTAAAGATCCATTTCTTCAGCTAGTGTTATACTGACCTCTGACTTCTCTAGGAGCTGTCAGAAGTTAAATACTTCTTAACTGCTCATTAAAGTTGACCTTTGCCCACATAAACACAATCCAAGCGTAATAGCATATGAGTTTATGGACAGAAACATGGATCACATTTTGGAAGAACTGGGCAGTATGATTGATACAAACACAAAAACAAACAAACTGTTGAACCTTAAAGGATAGTTCACACAAAAAAAAAAGAAAACTCTGTCATCATTTAGTCATCCTCATGTCGTTCCAAACGACGTTTGTTCATCTGTAATAAAATCGGAGAGATTTCTCTCCATTACTAAACTCTGACGTTTCAAAAAGTTCATAAAGAGATAGTAAAATAAATCCATATGAGTTAAGCATGCAATGAGGTTCCTTCTCATATTACATAGCATGTTTGAGCTTCCGCAAGAACCAATGAGGTTGTTCTCACGCATTAAGTACAGTTGAACCGCTCGATTCACATGGATTATATATATATATATATATATATATATATATATATATATATATATATATGAAGAGTTCAGATGCAAAAGCCTCTAAATGCCATTTGAAATTTTCTTCTTTAATGATGATTTTTATCAAACTTGTATACTTAAGTTCAGTAATTTCACTTAAATGGCAATGATAATTACCTATTAATTGTTATTTAAGTGAAATTACTGAACTTAAATATACAAGTTTGATAAAAATCATCATTGAAGAAGAAAATTTCAAATGGCATTTAGAGGCTTTTGCATCTGAACTCTTCATATATATATATATGTATATATATATATATATATATATATATATAGACTTTCAATGGAGGGACAGAAATATCTCAGATTTCCTTAAAAATATTTATTTGTGTTTCAAAAGACTTTTAAGTTTGGAAAGACATGAGGTTGAGTAAATGATGACAGAATTTTCATTTGGGGGGAAACTATTCCTTTAATACACCTAATAAACTCTTTTGGCTAACTGAGTTGAACCGAGCAAAACATCGTATTAGCTGCCAAATTTATGGTCCGTTTTTATGATGTTCTTACCCCGTTCATTAGGGTTGGCAGCAGAGTACACAGCCAGGAAGCCGCTACCAGCTGTATTGGCATCAGACATCATCTGTATGAGCATCTTGTTGCTTGTGGAAACGAGGGCTCCCGGCCTGAACGTCCCACAGAAGCGGCCGAGACGCTGTCCATTGCCGTGGCCACTATAAACATCCACGTAATCATATCGGCACAGGTTGTCACTCTCTAAGTCAAGAAAACGAAATGAGAGGACGACCACTTTGCCCTCTGGAACCTGCAAGAAACAGACATCATATTAAGAGGAATGGTCCTCTCTGCAGAACACGAAATCCAGGGGGAGGAGTCCAGATCCAACTCCTCCCATCTTACAAACCTAAACCTACCCATCTCCGCCCCCTGATCCATAACCCCAACCCTAATCCTAACCATCTCCACCCCTTAGATCTGGATCCAACTCTGGATCTCGTGTACTGCAATGAGGTGCTAATGTATTGAGACCCGACTAGATAAGAATGATCGGTAACACTTTAGTTTAGGCCGGGTGCAGTTCTCATCATTAACCAGTTGCTTATTGGCATGCAAAATATTGGCTAATTACTAGTACTCATAAAGTCAATCGGGATAAATCCTTTATAATAAATACTGCAATATTCCATAAAAAAAAAAAAAGATTTCACTGTGATATTAAAGGGGTGATCATGATTTTCGTTCCATTGACTTATAAAAATGTTGCTTTGTTCCAAAGTTTGGTGAACTCAGCCCTGCGAATATGTATGAAAACATTCAATAGAAAAGAGATTTGAAGCAATGTCTAAAGAAATTTTGTGTTCTCAAATTCTAGTATAACTGTGGCTTAACTCAAAAAAATAGATACTTTTTTTGTAATTTCTTAGCATTTTTTGAAAGTTTGTAATGTTGTGATGCATCTCATGATTGGTTTGGTTCATGGCTTAAAATGTTTTACTGAAAATTGTTTCTCAGAAACCTAGTGAGAGAATGACTGGAAAAATACTCAAGAACCATGACTATGAAATCTTTATTATATTATACTTTTAAGTATTATGCTAACAAATATTACCGTAAATTATACTGTAAATTTACAACTAAACATCTGAGTTACATTTTAATTACAAGTTAATTTGTTTTCCAATTTATATGCTGGCAGCTCTCCTGTCCTCATTTTGGAAGAAATCATAAGTGCTGAGGTGTTTTGTGTGCTTTGTGAACAAGTTATGGTAGTTCTATCTAGACTAAATGTGAACATGCATTTACTCATCTCACTTGCACAAAAATAGATTCAGCATCTCTCAAAAAGAATAAAAACAGTTCTTTTCTATAGAAACATGGAAATCAGGTTCTGAAAATGAAGTGGACAATCTCTCTTACTCTGAGTGGTTACCAATTAAGTCTGTTATATGCAATGACGGCAATGCAATAAAATGCTGGAATGAGTCTGGAGTCCCCACAAGGATGTAATGTGGCCAGCAGCCAAACCAAATGGAGATCACAACCAGACACACACTGATTCTTGCCACGACTTTCTATTGCATCATCATTACAGTACATGCGATGCAGAACTACATTTTACTTCTTTTTTTATTTACCCCCAAAACACTAAACATACAGACATATTCAAACAGTGATACTGATCAATAAATGATACTGTCAATAGCGATGATATAGACCATTTCACAAGATGTAAACAACACTGGTCCAGAAACACTTCCTGTTTCAGTTTGTAACTGTTTTCTTTATTACACATGTAAAGAAAACATCTTAAAGATGTTTGTTTAACTTTTTGATTCAGTTCTAAATGTTCTGTTGGTTGTATTTTATCCCAGCTTTTATGTAGTGTTAAAAAACTGAAACATGAAGTGCTTCTGGACCAGTGTTGTTTACATCTTGTGAAATGATCAATAGAATGATACTCTACAATAGCAATAGTGTCTAAAATGCAAACTTTGTACTTATTGAACAATGTTCAACACTGCAAACCTTCACAGCATGCACTGTTTTCAATGAAGTTCTGTATATACCTATGCTATGTATGTGTGTGTGGACACATTCCTGGATTGTGGACTAAAAACATAAATCTCCACAAATGTTTGATTTGGTAGGGTTCTATGCTAATTTGAGATCTGTCAAATGTTTTCTGTTAACTGCTACGTAACAAATCCAATTATCAAAAAAAAAAAAAAAAAAAAAAAAAAGGTTTCTCTGTTCATGTGTTTTGGTATTTTCATTACTTGACACACTGATTATTATGAAAGCTGGTTTCCACCACACAATAAAAAAGAATGGTGTTTTCTCATTTTTATCTTCTAATTCTGATTATTTTTCTTACAATTACAAACTTAGATCTTACAATTCTGACTTTATTTCTCACAATACCAGGTTTATATGGAGGGATTATGTAATGGGTCAGATTGAAAACTATAAGTCTCAAAACTAAAAGTCATAAACAAAAACTAATAGTCTATTGAAACTAAAAGTCTAAGTCGAAAACTAAAATCGAAAATGAATTTGGTATTCAGGATAGGGCATTTGTTATTTAGGATATGGCATTTTTTATTTAGGATTGACCATTTGGTATTCAGGATTGGGCTTTTTTTTTATTTAGGATTGGCCATTTGGTATTTAGGATTGGCCATTTGCTATTCAGGATTGGGAATTTGGTATTTAGGATTGGGCATTTGGTATTCAGGATTGGGCATTTGGTATTCAGGATTGGGCATTTAGGATTGGGCATTTGGTATTTAGGATTGGGCATTTGGTATTTAGGATTGGTCATTTGGTATTTAGGATTGGTCATTTGGTATTTAGGATAGGGCATTTTGTATTTAGGATTGGCCATTTGTTATTTAGGATAGGGCATTTGTTATTTAGGATAGGGCATTTGGTATTTAGGATTGGACATTTGGTATTTAGGATTGGGCAGTTTGTATTTAGGATTGGTCATTTGGTTTTTAGGATTGGGCATTTTGTATTTAGGATTGGGCATTTGGTATTTAGGATTGGCCATTTGGTATTTAGGATTGGGCATTTGGTATTTAGGATTGGGCATTTGGTCATTTAGCCATTTAGGATTTAGGATTGGGCATTTAGGGATTTAGGACTGGGAATTTGGTATTTATTATTAGGCATTTGAGGATTGAGGAGTGTATGCAAATAAGGAGGCGTGGCCCAAATACTAGAGGCTGGGTTTAAGATGACTGGTGCGCAGAGGCACCTTATGGACAGCAGAGGGCGTAAATCCCAGTCCTAAATTCCTAAGTGCCCAATCCTAAATCCTTAATGGCTAAATTACCAAATGTCCAATCCTAAATACAAATGGCGCTTTTCCACTACACAGTACCAGCTGGACTCGACTTGACTTGGCTCGCCTTTGTTTGGTTTTCCACTGTCTAAAAGTTGTACCTGTAGCTGCTTTTGGGTACTTTTTTTAGCATCACCTCCGACGAGGTTCTTAAACAACTTTCGAGGTGCAGACTTTCCTTTGTTTGGTTGCCGAAGACAAGATCCAGCGAGAGCTTGATGGGGCAACTAGGAACGAAAGGCATCGCTATGACGATTGGATACTATTTGTGCTGGTACTGTCTGCAATAGAAAACAGAGCCAAGGCGAGCCCAGGTGAGTCGAGCTGGTCCTGGTAATGGAAAAGCGTCATAAATGCCCTCCTAAATACCAAATGACCAATCCTGAATACCAAATTCAGGTATTCACAAAAATTCAACTGATTGTTTGCATAGCCTATTTCATGAATATATTCAAATATATTTGAGGTATACTGTTTTTTAATACAGAGCTATGATATTCAAAGGAGATGAGAGCTCATCATTCAAAATCAATTCGCGGTAACGTCACTGAATTAGCATAATTAATTCTGATTAGTTAATTTAAATCTATAGTGAATTCTGATTCGTGTTTTAACCATTGTCCCTTTAACATGGCAACTGTTATATTTATTCTGCGATATTTAATTTTCACAGTGCCAAAGCTTCATTTTTTTTTATTTTATTTTTTTTTTTTTTTGCTGCAGGGCACTATTTTCTTCAGGAAATGCAAATATGGTTTAACTATATTACCTTTAAGACGCATGTAAATCAGCATTTCAGCTATCCGAATACATAATCAGTTAACGTTACTTACAGTAATTCTCCACACACATTTGGTATTCGGCGGATAGACGCCCGGATAACCCTGACTACCGATAACACCCGACTCTCCTGTGATATTACCACCACACGTGAAGGTCTGTCTAGACAAAAGAAAGAACAATAAACACCTGCATCGACGCAGAATTCACTTTTGCAATACAGCCTATATGAATCATAAAACTTTGACAATGACATGCACAGAGGTTTCGCATGTGAGATCCGGCGCGCCGCCAGCTGTGATCATGCATGAGCATTCAGTGCGCGCGCATCATGACTAAAGAAACTTACCTGTTTTGAGACTGAGCTCGCACATTCAGAATGAGCAGCAGAGCCCAGGCGACCAGGACACCGCAGATCTTCCACATTGTAAGAACGGACGGTGGAACGGGTCAGACGGTGTGCGTGTCTCAGTCTGCGTCCAGCTGCATTTAATGGTATTATTGTGCTCCGTCTGTTCTGAAGTTGCTCCGGGGAGTTTCAGAGGCAGATGAATATAGCGTTTGTTCTGCTCTGTGGGAGGGAGCAGCACGACAGCTGCCTTTTCCCAAACCTGTGATCAAAGACATGCACGGGGGCTCTAGATGGGCGTCTCATTTAATAATAGGCTAAAATAAAATAAAATAAAAATTACAGTTTTTTTCTTCAAGTAGCCTAACACGTAACAATTTTCACTCTTCAGTTTCAGTTCAATTCAGTTTAGGCTATTTCACATTTTACAACACATATCCACTAATGTAATTGTCAAATTTGGGATCCATATGAGATGATTACAGCGCTACCTCGTGGCTTTAATGACTAAATATATTCTAATTAGGCTAAATGTATTCTTTACTTAATTAATTACGGTTTGCCATTTCAAATCTTTTAACATGCTGTTATATTCGTTTTAGTGGTTGTTGCCCATCTAAAACAAATATGCAAATCAAGACTGAAGATAATTTAGGTGTGCAATAGGCTATAATGTGTTTTAAAGTTTTTAAAAATGTAAGTGTATGTAGGCCTATATTTATTTATAGAAATATTTCACTATTCACATTGTACTGAACATGGACATTCATACAATTATGCATAAAAATAGAACAGAAAAAAGATCCTGTTTCGACTTGGCTGGAGTGAGTGCTTCCAAAGAGGCTTGAGACTTCTGTTCCAGCTCTCCTTTCTCAGCAGCTCAGAGTTTTTAAGATTTCTCCTCTCAGGGATCTTGTCAATAAGGGGCGCTCCCTGTGCACAACACACAGGCGCTATCTTCAGAGAGGGAGCTAGAGGTTTCTGCTGCAGCAGCTACTGTCTCAACGGCTCAGGGATCTTTAGTTTTTGCCTCTTTGAGATTTTGTCAGGCATGTGTACTCCCTGAACAAGCTCCTGCCTCAGGAATCTGCAGCGTCGGTTTCCTTTTTTCAACGACAAATATAGATATCTAAAGCAACACCATTAGCTTTCATCAGCGCTAGTTCTTTGGCGTCAGTTTGGTGTGTCCCTCCCTACCCTTGGTTTTGGCCTATAGTGATCTTGTCCTGCATGGGTGCTCCATGTGAGGAGTATGTGAGCACCTTTGAGGACGCCACTGGTACCCTCTGTAGAGACTGGATGGGCATGGTTGTTTCAAAAGATGCCTTTATCAGATGTTTAGTCAAATGTTCAGGGATCCTGAGTTTTGTCGTTTGTGGGCACACTCTGGGGACAGGTGCTTCCTTTGGGGACCCAGCAGGCACAGATGTTATCTGGCTTTTTCTGCCTCCACTTTCTCCTCTGGTCCATGGCCATCAGAGAAACTTGAGTGCTGAGCTTTCTCCGGTGCATCGCTGAAGACCAGGGATGTGGAAAGTTCCTCTTTTTAGAACTGGAAGAGTTCTGCTGAGACCGGACAAGCATACATTCTCCCTGTGAAGACCCGTCAGGCTCAGGTGCTTTCGGTGTCTGCTGCCTCCACTGCTTCGTGGTCTTCAGTTCTCCACTCAGTTTTCTTAGACCCGGCTGCCACAGGTCCTCCCTGTGACTTTTTCTGTCTCTGCTTTCTCCGCTGATTCCTAATTTTAAGTGTTGCATCATGAGAAGTCTTAGTTTCTGGATGAGGTGAGCACGGGTGCTCCCTGTTTGGAAGAGAAGGGTGCTTCTTGCGTCATATTCTGCCTCCACTGGTTTGTGTTCTTCAGTGTTGCATCTGAGAAGCCTGAGTGCTGGGAATGAGCCTTCTCAGAGGAGGACTGGCAGTGTTAAATAGTGGATGTGGGAGAGGAGGGTTGGGCGGGACCACTAATAACAGATCACTGTTAATGTAGGGCGAGGATTCCCTCTCTGTGCTGTTTAAAACCAGCAATGATGAATAGATTGCAGATATTTCAGGGTGGGAGGCTGTATTACAGTGTCCCAGTCTATTAGCCAGTCCTCCCCAGTATCAATCTCCACCAAAATTGACTAGTCAGACTCACATTGGGGCTTCTGCTCCGGGGCATTAGCCACAGGCTCCTTGCTTGCGGCAGTGAAAGTTCTCGGTCAGTGGGGGTTCTGGCGTTGTCATCTCACTAATGGCGCTTTTCCACTACTGGTACAGCTCAGTGCGGTTCGGCTCGGCACAGTTAGGCACGATGAACTGGCACGGTTCAGTTAGTACCGCTTAAGTGGGTGGGATTATATTCTGATCGTTATAGTCTATCCGCTCCTCGGACGGTAACCAATGAGAGGAACGTTTGCCCTTTGTCCACTGACCCCGATTCAGCTATTTTTTTTTTTTTTGGAAGTTTTGTTTCTTTCTTTTTTCTTCAAGCAAGTAGTTTTAAAACAGGCGCTACAGCGGTGGCTGTTAGGCCGTGTGTCCACCAAAGTGTTTTTCCACGCGCCTGGCGTATCTTTTCAATTGTTTTCAATAGGAGCGCCACGTTTTTTAAATGCAATGAGCGTAACGATGCGCTGAAGCGCCGAGCGCCCGGCGCTTTTTTACTGGTCATCGAGAGTTGAAAAGTGTTCAACTTTGGATAAAACGCAGCGCTCATCAGTGTAACTTTTTATCCAGCCGTCCAATCACAGTGGAGGATGGGCAGGACTAATACCATACCGACCAGCTGTCACAACATTCTTTCTGTACCACAGCATCAACTGGCAGAGCTAACCGAACAAAATGGATGAAAAATACATTTTTAGTATGAAACAAATTATCTGTGAAATCAGTTTTACAAGTAAATTGTGCTGCGGATATTCTGTATCCAAAAGCACGGCGTCTTCACCAGAGCGTCTGGAGTTTTCAGCTGGATAAAGACGCTTTGATGGACACACTTTCTAGCGGGTTGGTTTGATGTCTCGCAAATTCTGTCTGCCCAATCAGTGATCTGCACTGTGTTCACGTCACATTTTAGTATCGGTACGGTATGCTTGGAACCTCGACAGAGGTGGTACCATTTAAAGCGAGCTGAAGCGAGCCGTACCGTACCATGCAGTGGAAAAGCGCCACAAGTGAGCCGTACCGAGCCGAGCCGTACCGTACCATGCAGTGGAAGAGCGCCAAAGCGTGTCGTACCGAACCGCACCGTACCATGCAATGGAGAAGCGCCATAAGAGGTGTTGGTGTGCTGTGCTCTGGGTCTGGTTGCGCGCTGTAAGGTGTGGGTGCAGAGATTTTCGCGGGGAATGACGAAGCGGAGATCTACGTCCAAGCCACACTTAATACCCTCCATCAGACAGATATTGTCGCAGGTGGCCTGATGGCAGATGTTGAGGAACTCTTCCACGTAACACTCCAAGTCTCTGCCACTCTACACACTGTCACTGTCACTCCTTCCCTCGTCGGGGCAACTTTATCCAGTTTTAAGGGTTCGGTCATCTGTCACACGCAGTTGCAGGAAACATGATGAAGATGAAGATTGTGGTCAAAAGGCTTTAATATTCCACACAGAAGAAGGTTTTTCATACGAGGCAGGCAAACAACACAACCACATTAACGTCACCAGATACACAAACACTGAAAAAGACTATAACTTAAATACAAAGCAAAGGAGGGAAATAATGACAAACATGGTGATAATTAAATGAATCACCATGACAACTGATAAGTGGCGGGAACTGAACAAAGACACAAAAGTAGTGAAAACAAACTAAAATTTCATGATGATGAAACTAAGAATGAGTGTCTTTGACAAAAAGAGCTGGACTACGCACTTCAATTCAGGATTGTTCATACTAAAACTTGAGCAGTTAGTTATTTATAATTAGCATTTGCAGAGGTGCATAAAAGGAAGCAAGTGAAGCTTCAGCATAACAGACCACTCAACCATATTTAGTCAACAGGTATTAAAAACAAATGCAGACAATTAAAAAAAAAGCTCAAGTAGGCTGTTGATTTTATATAAATGAAGTTGATTTATATTAAATTCCACTTCCTGCTCAGCTACTGTTCGGACGCTCCTGCTTACTGCTCCGCGCTTTGCTCTATCGCTTTAATATTTTTTTTATATATTTTATCTCCTTTTCACCTAATTTTAACTTCAGCAAATCAGCACAGTGCTCAGACGCTGGGATTACTTAAAAAGTCACACTTTTATTCAACCAGCCTCTCACTGCTTACATTCCGGGGAAGAGAAAACACTACTCCCTACACTCATAAGGATAAGAAAATGCCTCTTCGGGAATCTACTTGCTGCTCTAACTGCCACAGACTTTTACAAAGGATTGCAGTTCTTGAAACAAAGTTAAATTCGGGACCGACAAACCAGACGGAAGGCACAACAGAGCTCCGTCGTGGACGCCCTCAGCGCACAGCCGGTGAGTCCCATGAATCTAGTGCTCCTCGACAAGCTATACTGACTGTAGAGAAACAAGCCGATCGACTTACAAATCGATGGCACAAACAGGGAGCGAGACCCAAAGGCACTCGAGACATCAGATTGTCACGAGCACCACATATTTCAGCAGTAGCATCATCTACCCCAGATATGACTCTAACCAGGATTGCAACCACTGGTCTCCTACCACCGCCTATTCATCTTGAGAACAGATTCGAAGTATTAATGAATGAAGAATCCCTGAATTTGACGAATGTGATCGAACACAGACTGAGTCAGCCTGTAGCTAACGCTGATGCTAACCGGCGCTCAAGGTCGAGCAGACAGCGGCACTCAGCTCAGAGCACAGCGGGGCCCAGGACTCTGATAGTGGGCGACTCCATAATCAGAAACATTAGTATCAGGGATACAACTACATGCTGCCTTCCACAAGCAACAACTTCTGATGTAAACAGGGAACTTCAGAACATTCTGGTGAAACATAAAACTGCAAATCGACTCATCATTCATGTGGGGAAGAACGATATTCATAAAGAGCAGTCAGAACTCCTTAAGAAGGATTTCAATGAACTTTTTGAAACACTTAAAAGACTGAAAGTTGAAACATTCATCAGTGGACCACTCCCAGCAAGAGGAACAAACAGGTTTTCACGGTTGCTTGGGCTCAACACATGGCTGCAAAAAACCTGCAATATAAAAGGAGTGAACTTTATTGACAACTTCAATCTTTTCTGGAGTCAGAGGCAACTGTTTCAACGGGATGGCCATCACCCAAACAAACTTGGTTCAAGAGTACTAAAGGACAATATCTACTTCTCCCTCCATCATCCTTCTGCAGTGTGTGCCAATCCATTCAACCTGAATGGCACTCACACACCTGGACACAGTATGAACGACCACAGGACTTCACTTCAACACCTAAATGGACATATTGCTGACACATCACACAAGGACAATGATAACACCACTCAGCCA